TAAAAGTAGTTATTTCCCGTCAGAATGTCACGTTGAATGACGCATCATTGACACCTCGCACTGCCAACCGCGCATGACCCTCACAGATGGCGGATTGTAGTCCCACATAGGCACACTCACCTGAATCTAAACACATCCAGCAGAGAAACATTGTCGTTTGTCAGTGTTTCCAACAGGAACTCTGATCGCTGGCCCTCAGACACACACACGACATGTTGCAGCTGACGACAATGTGTATGTAGAGTTGTCCAATCTGCTGAGAGGAACAGGCCGAGGGACGACCTGCTGAGGAAAGGCGAGTGAAACTGCGTGTGTACTCACCAGGTACCATGCCGGTGAGGGAGGGGGTGGAGTAGCTGCCCTGTCCGGTGGGGGGGACATGAGGAGGGTAGCCTGGCAGAGTGGTGCTGGAAAGGTCACGACCTGTAACCACACACACACACACACACACACACACACACACGTGTCAACACGTTCCTGCCATCAATATTAAGATCCGTGTCGATATCGTCTTTGTCATCAACGTTTTTACTTGAAAGGAGCTCTGCAGGCAAAATGCTGCTCGGAACCATTTGACTGAAATGACCAGTTTATAGTATAAGATGCTTAATGCTGAGATGATGCCAAGATATTTACCTTATTTACCAAAAATGCAGACGTGTCATATTTGCAGTCAAAGTGTGCACGCCTATTTAACAATAAACCACATTTTTGCGAATACTAACAGTACATTTCCAAGTATTGCATCGCTGATCTTGCCTTGATTAACGACACGTCAGGGTCCCCTGTTGTGTTTTGACTTGGTTTACTCGGGTGTTGTGTTAATAGGAATATGCCATGAATCCAAATGTAAATAGTAATTTTCTAAACAGCGTTTTACGTAGTATCATGAAATAGATAGTTTAGGTTAGACCTACTTTGGTCTGACCGCCATGGATACGGAGATCAAGCTGAAGGTCTGAAACTATTCGACACCTCTACTCGCAAACGGAGGTTTAAAACCAGCCCAAATGCAATATAGGGCTGACTGTGCTCTCGTTTGCAATACCGGACATCCTGGACTACAGGTGTCATCAATAACAAGTCAACTATCTGTAATTGGATGACCTGTAAAACTCTCCACCACACGCAGGATCTTCACAGCGAGGTTAAGGCAGCAGCACATTCAGGATGTCCTTCTTCCTTTGGTTCTTTCTTCCTCGTTTATTGTCCACTGACATCTATTCACCCCCCTCCTCCTCCTGCTCCTCCTCCTCCTCCTCCTAACCTCTTCAGCCCGTCACTTGGTGGATAGGATATATAACTGCATTAGACTACATGACAGTGTGTCGGCCCGAATCATTTCTCTGTGTTTGCGTGTGGTAGACATCGGGAGTGCGTTGAGAGTGAGCCCTCCATTCATCATCATCACACACACACACGAGTGCTTTGACGCCCCCCCCCCCCCCACACACACACACACACACACACACACACATTTATCATCATCATAAACAGCTCAGATGCTAACACCATCAATCCCATTCACTTCCCCTTCACTTAACCACCACTAACTAACTGAGAGGAGGAGGAGGTGGAGGAGGAGGAGGAGGAGATGGGTGAGACGGGTTCATGAGAAACAATGTGAAGGGAAAGGTGTTGTGAAACGAGAGCAGAGCAGACGGGTGGATAAAGTTACTTTCCATTGCATGCTGGCATATGAGCTAATAACCTCTTATGGCAAGTGGATCATTAGGGTTCACCATTTTTATTTTTCAACGTCCGGGTCTGAAGTAAAGTTCCCAGAAACTTGCATTCTCACTTCTGGCCATCAGGGGGCGACTCCCGGTTGCAAAAATAGGTTGTTGATTAAAAATAAATATATGAGATGGGTGTCTCTACTCCTCACTTGATTTATTCCCTCGGTTAATTCTAAACATGAGTTTATGGTCTCAACCGCTAGTTGCAAGTCTACTTAAATGTTAATTCAGTCCAACACAGACCAGGAAGCAGTGTGTGCTTGAGGGTCTGTTGTCCGGTCTTTGTGTTTTCAGTGTAACACTTACTTACTAAGAAAAGCCAAGATGGCGAAGGCCAAAATGATGAATTCAAGGCTTCAAAACGTCAGCCAACTAATCCATTGGTGACCTCCAGATGACTACGTGCACTTCTCATGTACCGTGTAACGACAAACTGACTCATTCCAGCCACGCCGACTATCGGCTGTTTAGGCTTTACTGAAAAATCTAAATCAAGACAATCAGAAATCGCTGAAAAGATGATTACTAATAAACTAATTATATAATTAGTAACTAATGATATAATAAGCTTGAGCATTTCTCCTCTCTTCACTTAATATGAGCCTCCTCGCCTCCCTCCCTACCACTCTCCTCTCGCCTCCTCTGTCCCTCTCCGCCTCCTCTCTCCTGTCTCGGCGTAGTAAAGTTTTTCTCGCCCGGTTGACGCGACAGCGAGGCATTAGTGCAGACGGGCTACTCATCCGCTCAGGGTCAGTGCACAGGGCACGGAGGAGAGGGAGGAAGAGGGGAGAGATGGACTCTCCACAGCCCAACTTAGAGGGGGCAGACAGGGCCAGATCCTCTGAGGTGTGTGTGTGTGTGTGTGTGTGTGTGTTTGTGCATATGTATGCCAGTTGGGTTGATGTATCTGTTCTCCACAGCTTTGCAGTAGAGGTCAACCAAACGAGTACAAGTCTCCCCCTCCGCGCTCACTAGCGCCTACAGAATCGCGTGTCCTCTGCCTCCCTTTCCCTCTCGCCGACTCCCCAGCCAACGCTCCGCCGACACACGGCCATCAGAGCAACATATGTCAAACCTGGTGGGGGGACTCAAGGAGGTGGCGTTTGTCCCTTTGCACCCGAGTGGACCAGGTGATGTTCCGAGCAAAGGGAAAGAACGTCCCTGCGGATTCTGGCCGCAGAAAGGGAGGCCGAACGTGTAAATGTCGTATCAGCGCGTCCGATGTCGGATCTTTTATTCTGAAGGAGAAAGCTGGCATGGAAGTGCACGCATACTATTAAGAAGCCGTGAGTGTGTGTGAATACGGCCGTGTGTGTTTGCATGCATAAGCAGAAATGGATTTTTTTTTTTTCTTTTCCTCCGGGTCTCCCTCTCGACTTATGCAGGTAATATTCCACAGAGGTTTCAAAGGGCACAAAAAGAGGAGCCCTTTCCCAGAGATCCCAAATTCCCAGCTCTATGATTCCCCTCATTATAGACGGGAACCTTGGAGCCTTTGGAAAGGGCTCCCTAGTCTACTCTTAATTAACCTCTGCCTCTTTCGGGCGCCGCTTAAATGGGACGGACGAGACGCTCGCTTTCCCTCCGTCGCTCCACCTTTCTTTTCCTCCCGTCCTCGGGGCTTCCGGCCTCTCGTGAGAACCAAAGCACTCATGTCTTTAAACAGGTTCAATCACTTAGTGTCCATGTTGCTGCTGAGGTGGACTTAAAAGGTGTTTGTCTGCAGTGTGTTTGGAATGTGAATTACTGCACGGACCTGAGCACCGTAGGCTGGAGGAGTCGCAGTGGATTTATGAGTAATTCTCTCATGCATATATTGATGAGGTTAGTTGCAATCCGACAGGCAGAACAACAAAATGCTGCACTTCCGTCCCAATAGATTCAATTAGCTCAAGACTCGCATCTTCGCATTATTTTGTGGCACAGCTTCCTAGATGCAGGCTTGATATTTAATATTGTCACCATGTGCCGTGCTGTAGTTCGTGAGATGAGCTTACGTCTGTTTGAGTAACTGAGTGAGTAACTGTGGGATTCTTCTTTGTGGGATGGAAATGTACTAAAATGATGTTGGAAACATTATCGCAATAAAACTGACCATCACTGACTATGCGCCACAAAGAAAGACTCACAAAAGTGTTACAGTATAAAGAAAATGTTGAAATGCTATAAATACATCTTTATTTTCTCTTTAAATCATTACGTTTTTTATCTGGTAACAGAAAGTGAAGTGCAGACGTTGTCGGGCGTCTCTTACCTGGAACGAGTGAATAGGACTGTGGGCCCGACACGCTGCCCCCTAACTCCGCCCCCGCACCGGGATTGGCCAGGCTGTTCTTCATCTCGTCCAGTCCGCCGGCTAGCGAGGCCATGGCCGAGTAGTCGGACGTCTGGGCCGAGGCAGCAAGTGGAGACAGAGATAAGGAATGGAGTTCAGTTTTTCCGTTCCACGCGACCAAAACGTGCCGCTCACACGAGATCAGCTGCTCGTGAGAACCTGCTACATTTCCCAACGTGCAGCCACAAATCTTTACACAAACACGCACACCCACTGACGCACAAAGAAACATACAGAAACACACCTACTGTCGAGAGCCTATTGATCTGTTTGCAAAGACAGGGATTTACTACGGAGTCCAACGGTCTATAACCACAGGATCAGCGCGCTCTTTCCCTTCATCTCGCTCTCCCTCGCGCACACACACAGACACACTCTCACTGTGCCATCGCAGAGACCATGGCTAACACAAAGCCTCTTGTCTCCCTCAGAAACCAGCAACAATAAGAACTGTGATCATCTCAGCACACGTACGCGCAGTCCACACACACACACACACACACACTAAAGAAGGTACAAACACACAGAGAGAAGGAGAATGAAGCAACAGGGCGACATCTTGCTTGATGTCTAGCTAGTAGTTTTTTATTCTCTGTGAAAACTTTATTGAAAAGAGCTTGAAGTTAAAAGAGAATCAGAATAAGCATCAGCTTTATTATTCATACACACACACACACACACATCACAGTGAGGGCGCGATGTTGATGAGTGACGCCGTCACACTTCCCAACCAATGACAGCGGCCCTGCGACTGCTCCTCGAGCTCGACTGGCGGTGACAGAAATGGATAAAAGGGGAGTTTGCTGTCTTTTTGCGCACGTTTTTTTGTAGCCACTAACTGTTTTTAAATACACGCAGGTCAGAGAACAGGTGTTATCTCTAACATGCTTTATATACGAACACGGGTTGAGGTGAAGACGGCGGTGCAGTATGACTGATTAAATGCTGTTTTAGCGTCTGCTGGAGTCTGGTGTCCAGGGCGTGAAGGTCTAAAGTGACCTTCCCTGACTCCTGACTCCTACGTCCTGCGTGTACAGGGTCCAGGATGGAGGGCAGGCTGGAGCCAATGGTTCTCTCACCGCACCTGATAACCCGTTGTAGTATTACAGAAAGAACACTAATGTATTCTTTTTAAAACCATAACAGCACAAATGAATAAAGAGGATTTCATTTGTTTTTTAATTTGGCACTCAAGAATGATTTATTTCTAGGTTCCTAGACCAAAAGCTATTCTGATTCCACATGATCCATCCACTAAAAACAAAAAGCCTAGTTCTTTCTAAATAAATGACTAAATCAAACATCTAGTGTCTACAGTGCAATGAAGTTGGATGTTGTATCTATAACAACCTGGTTGGCCAAATGCAGACAGATAGATGGATAATTGAAACTGTCCCCTCACCTGTGTTTGACCCGAACACCGAGCCATGACCCATCCACTCTCCTCCACTCTCCTCCACTCTCCTCCACTCTCATCCACTCTCCTCCATTCTCATCTATGCTCATCTATCCGTGTGTGTGTGTGTGTGTGGTGATTTAGAGTGAAGCTGTCAACACTAATGACCAATGATATATAGATTAACCACGGACTCTCAGAGCCGCAACGCTCATGATGGGAAAATGACCTGCCTGTGTGTGTGTGTGTATGTGTGTGTGTGTGTGTGTGTGTGTGTGCGTGGTTGTGTGTGTGTATGTGTGTGTTTGTTGCAACATGATCTCACACAGTCACGTGAAATGGAAGCAACCTCTTAAAAACATGTATGATGTTGGTACGTAACACGTTGACATGACAAGCTGCCACCAGGGAAACAACACGGGAAGGAAACCAAACCACTTTGTTACGTTAGGGCGGAGGATGTTGGTGGTTTGAGCTAAAAGAGCTGTGATGTTACAACCTGGGTTAAAGTGGCCAACCTCGTCCCTCCCTCAACCTCGTCCCTCCCTCAACCTCGTCCCTCCCTCAACCACGTCCTTCCCTCAACCACGTCCCTCCCTCAACCACGAGGCCAACCCTCAACCTCGTCCCTCCCTCAACCTCGTCCCTCCCTCCCTCACCACGTCCTTCCCTCAACCACGTCCCTCCCTCAACCACGAGGCCAACCCTCAACCTCGTCCCTCCCTCAACCTCGTCCCTCCCTCAACCACGTCCCTCCCTCAACCTCGTCCCTCCCTCAACCTCGTCCCTCCCTCAACCACGTCCTTCCCTCAACCACGTCCCTCCCTCAACCACGAGGCCAACCCTCAACCTCGTCCCTCCCTCAACCTCGTCCCTCCCTCAACCACGTTCCTCCCTCAACCTCAACCTCGTCCCTCCCTCAACCTCGTCCCTCCCTCAACCACGTTCCTCCCTCAACCTCAACCTTGTTCCTCCCTCAACCTCGTCCCTCCCTCAACCACGTTCCTCCCTCAACCTCAACCTCGTCCCTCCCTCAACCTCATCCCTCCCTCAACCTCGTCCCTCCCTCAACCACGTTCCTCCCTCAACCTCGTCCCTCCCTCAACCACGTTCCTCCCTCAACCTCAACCTTGTTCCTCCCTCAACCTCGTCCCTCCCTCAACCACGTTCCTCCCTCAACCTCATCCCTCCCTCAACCTCGTCCCTCCCTCAACCTCAACCTTGTTCCTCCCTCAACCACGTTCCTCCCTCAACCTCAACCTTGTTCCTCCCTCAACCTCGTCCCTCCCTCAACCACGTTCCTCCCTCAACCTCATCCCTCCCTCAACCTCGTCCCTCCCTCAACCTCAACCTTGTTCCTCCCTCAACCTCGTCCCTCCCTCAACCTCAACCTCGTTCCTCCCTCAACCACGTTCCTCCCTCAACCACGTTCCTCCCTTAACCACGTCCCTCAAAATGCGCAGTAGTCGGCTGCTTGCGGTTAGGAATTGAGGAATTGCAGGTGTGTGAATGTGAATAGTTGGTTGTCCCTACATGTCAACGACTGCAGGGTGTCCCCGGTGTCTCACCCAATGTTAGCTGGGATAGACTGACTTGATTTATTGACTCGGTGAACAAGTTTATGGTCTCAATTGCCAGTTTGGAGTATTTTTCAATACGATGTTTTTTGTGCATCATTGCCTCACTTGCAGTGAAATAGAGCAGGGTATGCTTTGGGGCGGGGCTACCTTGTGATTGTCAGGTCTTGATCACTGTTTGTCCCATGCGGGAGTTGTCTTGGTTTTTGATTCATAACTTTCACTCTTTCACAGTGTGTTTTCCTTTTATAAACGGTAATGGACACATTTTGTTAGCCTAAAAACGTCATATTCAATCATCAGTTGTAATTCTCAAAAAAACAAGATGGCTACAACCAAACTGTCAAACTTGTGGCTTCAAAACACCTGACGTCACGGTGTCTATGATCAGCCTAACAGCCTTTAACACGCAACAGAATTGGGGCACCCATCGCTACCGGTGAACTTGTAAATCTTTGTAAACTGTAAACTCATTTGAATATTTTTGTTTAAAACGACTATTAAAGATACATATCGGTGCCGACGTAGTTCGTCATTACCCAAAGTAAATCACTAAAACCGGGGTTTCCACATTGGCTACGACTCCATTTGTGCAGAATCCGGCATGAAAAAACGTCCCACTTTCCCTCACGAACCAGATCCACTCCGCTTTTTTCATTGTGTGTGTGTATGTGTGTGTGTGTGTATGTGTGTGTGTGTTTTTGTGTGTGTGCCTTCAAGCGTGCACTAATGACATCAATCAGACTTTCCTTTAGGTGACGAGGTTGGAGTTTTGCACTGACCCTTTTAATACCTCTGCATCTGTGTGCGTGTGTGTGTGCGTGCGTGTGTGTGTGCGTGCGTAGAGGCGTAAGTGTAGGCGTGTGTTTGTGCTCACTGACCTCTTAAACACCCCTGTGCTCGTCAACACACAACACAACCACTGGACTGTGACCTGCCAAATAAGAGCTTACCTAGTACACTACCCAACACACACACACACACACACACACACACACACACACACGCACGTCTCTCTTTACAGGTCAGAGACACTTTTAAGCCGGCTCTTCTCTCTTAGCGCCCCTCTTTGCCCACTTCCATCACACCCGGGAGTTGTTTTATTCTTTTCCGCCATCACTGCGGGCGCCCCCCCCCCGCCCCGGGCTAATCAAATGGATTTCTAAACTTTGCTGTATCACTAAAGAGGGGGCGGGGCGGCGCGGCGCTCAGACAACGGGGCCTCCCGTGTAATAGGACCTGATAAGTTTGGCTAGTGGGGTGACAGGCCCGCTAAGCAAGATGGATCATTCTCATTCGGCCCCGTAAATGTTGTCAATTCTACCGCTCATACAGCGCCATCAGCCCTCATCAGAGGGGAGGGACGCAGCTGCGGAGGGGCGGGTGGGGGTGTTGTACGTACAGGGCTGGGTGGAGGGTTACACGGGAAGGCGGCGGGTGGAACTGGACGGGGGGGCAGGAAGTCGTGGCCAGAGAGACGGGTGAGACGACGCGTCGGTGGGGAAGAGAATACAAAGAGAAATGGATGCAAGCTGTGTGCATTTAGTTAACTATGGCTGAGTATGTTCGTCCACACGCTTTCGTTCCGTGACAGAGACGAGATGGTGACGAGACATTTTCAAGATGGCGCCAACCATTGTTTAATTTTCTTTTTGCAACCTTTCAAAAGTTTGCAGAAAGTTTTTGTTGCCAGTTGAATGAAAAAAAAAAACTTTTACTAAGATAAGACTACCTGAACCTGGTGAACTAAAACTTTTCTGCGGTTTTACTTTACTAAATAGGATTAAAGAAAACAACATAATATAAAGCTGAAAAGAAGAAATGTTGGTTTTGTGGGAGTCTAAAGAATACAGACACGTTCAGACCAACATAAGCTAAATAAAACGCTTCTTCCGTTTTATTGTTAATTCTGGACATAGTGTGCAAAAAGCTCCCGTAAAAATACAGTCATCCAGTGTAAGTGTTTGACCTGGATTTTCCACATTGTATCGCGACGTCATTCTGCAACGTTGCAAAAAGCGCACAAATGCTGCGGTACTACTTTGTAACCCCAGTGCGGGTATTTGTGCTCTTTATCTCCTGAACATTGGAGAAAACCCAGGGTTGTAAACTCTGTCCCAGTAGTATTACAAACTGCCGTGGAGACTATTGCCGTTTGATAAGCCGTCGCACACATTGTGTTTTATTAATTAAGTGCAGATTTCTGTCAGCTTCTGTTGTTTGGTATCAGTTGTGCTCAGGGGCCGGGGGGGGGGGAGAAGATCTGCGTCCTATTATAAGGAGAAGATTTGTATTTAAGGTTCTGTAAGACAAATTGAACCTTTGGACTGTGCTGAACGTGTTCTAGTCGATGTTTTGCTCAAAGGTTTGCGATACTCTGCCATTCGCCACCGTTGTTTCCTGTCTCTCGTACCCGCCACTCACACACAGGAGGTCGGTATACTGGCTTGGATGTGGGAAGGCAATGGTTAGGTCCAAATTTCACATCAATAACAGATGAGCCTTAATCGGCCCTCTGACACACACACACACACACACACACACACACACACACTGGCCCTGTTGGCTTGCATCATTTGCATAATAGTATTTCCCCTTTTTCTCCATTCCCCAAATAGCTCCCCATTTCTCCCTTTCTCTCTCCCTCACTCTCTCCCCCCCTCCACATTGTCTTGTGTACTCCTGATGGAAAAGGGCTCGGCTATAAACAAACAATCCCCTCGGAGGCGCACAAACTGAGACAGGGATTGCGGGGAAGGAATTCATCTGTGCTCAAACTGAGCATGGCAGCAGAGGGGAGGGGATCCGTTCCAACTGTGTCAGTTCATACATTTTAAATCCCAAATCAGACCGACATTTTTAGTTCATGCAGAATTTATTGATTTAAATTTTGCAGTCAGGAAACACTTATTTTGTTTGCCGGTGATATTGAATATTTTTCTTACCAAAAGATCTCATAATGAACCTGAAACCAACAATTAATTGAAATGCAAAAAGCGAATGCAAAGGACTCGCCTGCCAACTATTTATAGCTCTGATGTGAATTAACACATTTTTAAAAATAAACCAACCAGCCGGACCGACTGAGCCAGAGCAGCATGTGTCGCGTAGCCAACTCTTTTATGGAGCTTCCATTTATTTTTATGTATGGTGATTATTTATTGTATTGTGAAAGGTAAGAAAGCTTGGACGTGGCCAGCGGTGCTTGGTCGAGGTTAAAGAGAGTAATAAAGTGGTTTAGTTTGCAACGCAGAGCTTCAGTGTCGTTGTACATTTTGAATTTGTGCCGTTGTCTGTGGCGCGAAATCTCAAAAAAACCAATAACGTTGGGATTTCCCTGCTTATTATTTGCATTCTTTGACGCAACATCAGCCGAAGTGGAATTTAGAATGATGACATCTGGTGGTAATAATGGAGTACAAAATTGGATTTCATCCTCTACTGAAAATAATCCCAAATATATTCCTCCTGTTTGAATGATGTTTGCCCTCCTGCTTCAGGTGTTGACTGTTTTAGGAGAGACGGAGCGTAGGCCACTTAGAAACCATCTCCATCCTTCCCTGCTTTGTTTTAAGCTTTTCGGGCGGAGACTCTGACGAGCACTTTGTCTTCCTCTATCCCAGTGCAGGCAGACTTGGGTGGAGCTGGGGTGGGCATTTGGACCCGGGGGCAGCATTGGTGGGTGGGGGCTCCATCAGCGATTGCTGATTTATCACCTAGATAATAGGAAGTGATTGAGGGGAAATTCAAATGAACTCTCTCTGACAGGCACCCATGCAGACCCAGGGAGAGCGCCAGCACACACACACAAATTAGCAGTGGGGCTTAATAGACTCGGAGGGAGGAACCAGGGAGGGAGATAAAAGGATGACTCGTTAGGGAGGAAAGATAAAGAAAGGGTCTGAGACAAACGCCACATAGCATTTGTTTGTGAGGGACGTGAACGGTTCAAGTGGGATGACGAGTAGGAGAGAAGATATAACGAAGAGATTGAAATGGCTGCTGAAATTTCAGTGTATTAGCATTCCACTGTTGGCACTTGAAATGGAGGCACTTTTCTTTCTCTCTGGCTTACTGTCACTTTGTCCATTTGTCATTCTTTCTGTGACCCACACTCTCACACACACACACACACACACACACACACACTCACTAAGGGCGCCCTCACATGCTGCACCACCCTCGACAGCGGGGCCCGAGCGTAGATCAGGCATCTTTTAGGAATGTCAGTCACAACACTGCATGACCTTCGTGGACCATAACCCTGCCAGCGGTGCCTCACGCACACCACACGCACACCTCACGCACACCTCACACACACACCACAGCGGCTGAGCTGCAGCTGTCATGGTGTCGGTGTTTAGGGTACGACTGTCAATCATTCCCTCTGGGAAAAAGCGGGCTGGGAGGGAAGGGGGCAACTAGACAGGATGAGAGGAGGAAGCAGAGGTAGAGAGACATACAGCAATGGCAATTTGTGTGTGTGTGTGTGTGTGTGTGTGTGTGTGTGTGCCTCTTTGTAATCATAAAGCAGTGGCCTTAAACCAGTTTGACCCCCTGGGAGCGACCTGCGGTGTAAAGCCCCTGTGCCCGACCCCAGTGGCTTGACCGGGGCCCACAGGGGACACTGACCTATGAATCCTGGGTATTATAGTCTTGAGTCTCAGTCTATAGAGCTACTAGAGCCGATCCCTGTCGACCTCTCGCCCTGTGCCACTCCACGCCCCGTGTCAGCCGCAGGGAAGTCAATGGATAAAAAGGCGAGCTCTGCCCCAGAGGTCTAAGGCTGCAGCCCAAATGTTGCTCCGTACACCACCACTCGTCTTGCGTGTGTTTGTCCTCTCGCCCTTGACATTGACTGAATAAATAGACCTGATGCAGGGATACTTTTTAAAGAATATTCCCTTAATGTGACCTCCGACCTGCAGATTAGAAGTAAGCGTGACAAAGGAAGAGAGAATACAAACGCTAGCTGGTGGTCATTGTGTTGTTGCGCGTGCTACTTACACCTGTCTATTCCGCTCAGGTTTACATGCACTGAACCGCTCAGAGAGGACGGGAGGTCAATTTAGATGCAGCATTAAGATGAAAATCCTTTCCTCCATCTCGTCCAGACAACTCGCACACACACACACACACACACACACACACACACGCACACCAAGCAGCAGGAAGTGAGGTCACAGCGAGGGCCTGGGTCAATATGCTCATTAACCCGTGCAGTGTATCTGGATTATAGGAACATCAATATGTGACTGGGCCTCCGCTGCAGCCATCACAACGCTGATCAGGCCGCAGGGAGCTCGGGCCGTCTGTCAGACTGACGGCCAAACGCGGCTCCGTGCTGACTCCTCCAAAGCGCCCCGAGAGCAAAAGCAACAGAAGAGAACCGGAAGGGAAATCTATTAAAATGAAGGCGATGACTCTGCATTGTGTCGGAGATATAACAAGGAGTATTTCATTATGCAATCTGAAGGATTTCTTCAGGTTTGCCATGGCAAGGCAGAGCAGGCAGGACAGGCTGTAAGCTCAAAGCAGAGACGAGAATCAGCAACAACGCAGCGCGTCAAGATCTGTTGTGTATCTCTCTGTGTATGCAAATTGTCTTAATGAAGCTTGCTCAATAAAAAAATGATATTAACAACATATTTGTAGCAAATGTCAAGGTACAATGTTTGACGGGGAGGAAAAATGGGATGCGTTCACTAGAAGTCATCCTCGGTGGTGATGCGCCACTCCTCATAAGGAAAAAGTAACGCGTCACCCAAAAGATGGACCTGTGTTTGTTTCTAACGTGAGTCAAACTCCGCCTGCGCCCAGAGCCTGCGCGATGCCACGCCCCTTACCTTGCCAGGGTCCGGGCTCACATAGAGGTCAGAGCCGGACTGGATCGGACAGGGTCTGTCAAACAGGCGGTCCAATACCTCGATCTGCTGCGGCGAGAACAGCTCCCCTCTCATCTGCTTCCTGAGGAAGTCCCGCCCACCGTGGACGTGCCCGTTGGCCAGCGGTGACTCCTGCAAACCTGCAACCGAGTGAGGGAGAGGAGAGGGGTTAGGATGGTTGAGTGGGGGAGATGGAGGAGAGGTCTGAAGGGGGGTTTGGGGAGTGTGGTGTGCAGAAGGAAGGAGGGCAAAAATACTCCGGCACAGACGATGCAAAACGATGAATCAGCGAGGGAGATGTGGAGGCTGAAGTTTGAGCAAATCATAGCCTCAAATGAAAGCCACTGAGCTGATTTGGGACTTGGTAGATTGTGAAAACTCAGAGAAAATGCGATACAAATGCAATCCATTACCAAGCATACGCTGTCTCTCATTCTTGATCTCTCAAAGAAAAGTACTCATATATACACACCTCTCCGCCGTTTGTGTCGTATCACACACACGCACACACACACACACACACACAGGTATATATTGCTGCGGTATCAGTATTAGACTGTGCGCTCTCGTATCCTCCAGTTATTGCGAGTCTGAGGGACTGAACAAGACAATTATAAGAACTCCGAAGAGTCGCGGCCCACAAATGATTAGAAAAGAGAGAACTAGAGAAAAAAAGATAGAGAGAAAAAGGGGATGAGGGTGAAAATCCCCCGTTATAGAGCCAATTCATCACTCCAAACCGCTCCTGAGAGCCTATTTTAGTCCTCGGGGTCACTGTGTGTTTGGCGCGTGTGTGTGTAGGAGACAGTGTGTGTCCGGTGGCAGAGGGGGTGATGTGACAGACGGGTGGAAAGAGGCTTCAAATGTATCTTTTTTTTCCCCATTTGGACAGAGAACACAGATCCATTTGTACCAGACTGTGATCCTAAACAAAGAAAGGAAGAAAAAAAAAATGAAGGTGTTCACCATTGTTATTATCAAAGCTTCTCCAGTAAACAAAAGTGCATCAGATTCTTTTTGTGCCCACGTTTAGAAAGAAGTTACTATTTGTGTGCATTCGCTCAGACAATCACAGAAATTCTTCAATTGAATACGATTGCAATTTAAAGCGTGCGATTGGTCAAATTGTGAAGCAGCTAACTCATAAAGATAGTACTACAGCGGGATGGCGAACAGCCAGTTAACTGTAGGATTACTGCTATTGGGACTCGTATCATCATTATTTTCGTGCATTATTTGTTTTCTTACAGAAAAGAAGGACTGCGTTCCTTTCGTGGCTTTTGCTAAATGGTACCGTGTTTAAATCCTTTCCCGGCGATGCGGTTGAGTGGTCAGAAGGTTGGACAAGATGTAAACAACAACCTTTAGATCAGATTGTCGAAATCAGTCATTTGGAGGGAAAATAGAAATAATCCCTCGATTGCACAAGAGACGTAAGTGTGCGCTTCACTGTGACAAGTGCATTGGGTCACGTTTGAAAACGAACACAGGCAGATTCACTACTAATGAATCACTTCCCTTCGTTTTTTTTTGCAATTGGACAACCAACTTGTGTTTTTATACATGATCGCTTATGTCTTTACCCATCGTACCAACATCTTAGTCAAGTGCAATGTTAAGATCTCCAAGCGAAATGATGACAAAAACTCTGTATTAATGGAGAATCATCCTTTACATGGTAGATTTGCATATTTAACCACATGCTGATCAACTCCTCAGATGTGTAACCCTACTCATTAATACTGTAGTTGCAAACTACGCAGCATCGTCTTGAGGTTGATGTCATTGGCACGGAGGGTGTTTTTTTTAGTTTGTTTCAAAGATGTATAGCAAACCTCAAATCGTCACACCAGCCGCTGACAAAAAAAAAGCTCACACTCGCACAGCGCCCCATAACTCACAAAACCTCGCCGCACCTTTTCAGAACACAAAACCTCTTTCACCCACTTTCTCACCAACACAGCCCTTGATCGTAATCTCTCTCTCTCAACCACATAGTCTCTCTCGCGCACACATGCAGGCGGGTTCTGGCAGCTGTGTGAGTGTCTGGGTCGCTCGGTGACAGACCAATCAGGAGGGAGATAAAGCCAGTATGATGCTTTAGCCGGGTAACCCACGGCGACCCATTTAATCCCACCAGCCAGTCCCCGTGATGGAATTCAATTGATCAATCATGTAGCTCTGATGGCACCATTTCAGCTGCCTTATTGCTTTCTGCTGTCCCGTCGTCGCACACAAATACAAGCGCGCACACCCGAATACACACTGTGAGACTGACCCGAGTCAGTCTCCATGGAGCGCCCGCAAAGGACACACAGAAGACGAAGGACATGACAGGGGCCATTGTAATCTAGCAGTAAGAACAAAGCTTTTACTCGTTCCACTCGTGATAATCAATATTGTCCGTTCGTCTGTATGGGTGTGTGTGTGCGTGTGTGTGTGTGTGTGTGGGTGGGTTGGTGTGTGAGTGTGTGTGAGAGTGGGTGGGTTGGTGGGTGGGTAGCTTGATATCCGGCCGGTCTCATTGTGTCCATGGATGGGTAAAGAAACTCATTGCCGTGACGGGTTAAACCCTATTCACTGTCGGATACATGCACACACACACACAGACACACACTCACACACTCACCCGCAGACACACACTCACACACTCACAGCTGCCTCTATCTCTGTGAGTCAGTCTCAGAAGGGAAGCGCTTCTCTTCCCTCTTTTTCAGAGCAGAACAAAACAAACAATGAGCCCTTATTGTGCCCTGTTCTCTGCCTTTTTCCCCTCTCTTCCGCCTTCACTGTCTCCCTATAATGGTCTCCCTCTCTCTCCCTCTATCTCCCTCTCTACCTCTCTCTCCCTCTCTCTCCCTCTCTCTCTCTCTCTGCCTGCTGTAGACATTTTTTCAGACAAACCTGGAACAGCTGAATTATTAAATCCTAAACACCTCAGAGAGTTAGATGGGTTGTCACTCGTTTGTGTGTCTCAGTGCATGTTCTGTCAGGGTGTGTGTGTGTGTGTGTGTGTGTGTGTGTGTGTGTGTGTGTGTGTGTGTCTGTCTGCAGGGGGTAGGACACCACCAGTGGGCATCTTTTTGCACTTGACATAGATTATCATACTGATATGACAAGGGTTGTAAGTCTGACCTCACAGCACCAGCCTGTGCATGCCTGTGTGTGTGTGTGTGTGTGTGTGTGTGTGTGTGTGTGTGTGTGTGTGTGTGTGTGTGTGTGTGTGTGTGCGTGTGTGTGTGTGTGTGTGTGCGTGTGTGTGTGTGTGTGCACCCCATCTAAACTCCCAAGAGCAACGTTTCTAGTTGTTTTTTGGGGACGGGGCACTGAGAGGAACTCAGGGTGAAGGGCGGAGCTCCCTCCTCTCCTCCGTCCTCCATCCTTTTCTTCGCCCCTATGCGTCTTTTATCCGGTAAGCTGCTGCATGTCACAGAGGACGCACAACGGGGTGAGAGGTCAGTTTAGCATTCTGGGTAAAAATATTTCATCCTTGCGCAAAAGAGTTTTTTTTTAAAGAAACACTTAAGAAAAGAATCATGCCGTGTCTTAACAGGCCAACCTATCCTGATCTCTGTATCCGTGATGCACACACACACACACACACACACACACACACACACACACACACAGCCTAAAAGAATAGGTTGCCGTACAATAGTCCCCTTTTGGCCCCACAAGTCAAGTTCTTCCATTCACTCCCATTCATCTACATTTTGCCCCCAATCACCCCCCACTTCCCCTCGCTTTGGCTGGGGGCACAGGTCACCGCGGGGCTTTACCCCCACACACTCTGTCCTGCCGACACACACACACACACACACACACACACCGATCCCGCCTTCCTGTGTTCCCATCACTCACACAGCTGCCATATCTATGCTTGTACTACATCAGAAACACAACTTTCCAGCACTCATGTTCATGTATATATCATATATATATAGATATATATATATATATATATATATATATATATATATATATATACATATAGATATATATGACTTATTGCTGCATATTTAAAATATTCTGAGGCTTAGAAGTACCGTCATTGTGAGAGCTGTGATGGTTGGCCTCCTGCGTGACTTGTGTCTCTTTGCTTCTATGGACAAATGCTCCTAGTGTGTGTGTGTGTGAAGCTTGCGTCGCTGCATATTTGTGCATGTGTTTGTCTGTCCATGTCAGCGCATGCTGTTCCCCCCCGTCGCCTCGTGCTGCGCGCGTGTGTCATTATCCGGCGGGGGCTGCTCTAATGGAAGCTGTGATTAGCAATGCTGTTAATTAGACCACAGAGCCGGCCGCGCAGACCTCCGCCACGGAACGCGCTGAAGATAGAGAAAGACACGCGGGGGCTAAAGCGTGACGCGCAGCGACACAGCGCTCTGTGGAGGCCTCGGCGAAAACACAAAGCCACGCAGTATTTGTCAATAGAAGTTGTGGAAAGAGAGGCCGCGCATGCAGCATGCGGTGCAGCACGTCACGCACATGGGGGAACAAAGTGGAACAAGAATGCTGCTAATTAGATAACAGAGCTTGGGCTGCAGATTCAACCACACCGCACACATAATAGAGTGGGATACATTTGTTTAATTATGGTACGTGACTTGTGGGTTTTTTGTCATTGAAATACGGCTTCATAATAAAAGTAGAGATATTTTGAATTGTTGTAGCGAGAAACATGCAACTAATAGCACTGAGAAACGATCCGACGTGTGTACAACTATCAGCTACCAAGTGTGTGTTTGTTGGATCTGCATGTGTGTGCGTGTGTGTGTGTGTGTAGGCTAAAAGTCTTTGTGCTCAGCTGATGGCTGTGTGGGTCGTATCCGAGCATGACAAACGCTCAAGGAGCACCTGAGATTCATCAGCAGTGGGAAAGGACCCCATACTGTATATTGGTGTGTGTGTGTGTGTGTGTGTGTGTGTGTGTGTGTGTGTGTGAAAGAGAGAGAGAAATAGCCCCAAGTGGCGTTCTGTCACCCCCCCCCCCTCGCTACGACATCTGGTCCCGTCTCATTTACCGCAGGAGACTGTCTGTTTGATGGCTTTTTAATGCCACTGACACTGACACATACACACCAACGGGCACGCACACGTGTCTGCGCATGCACAGATATACCTCGAGAGCCTCCACCCCCCCCCCACTCCGCCCCCCCCCCGTGCACCCTCCTCCATCAACATGCATCCAGCATTGATCTGGTGTGGCAGCGTGTATGATCGATGACTTCTCAGGTAGCGCCTTTAGTGAAGAAGTGTGGGTTTCTAAATGAAGATGCTTGGTGCAGAACCTCCACACTGCAGCTGGCACACAAACTCACACACATCTGTCATTGATGGGAGGGGGCGGAGGGGGGGTCCTCCGGCTGCGTATTGTTTTGGCTCACCTTCGTCCCTCTTCCTCTTGCCCACGTCGGCGGCGGAGCTGATACCCAGAATGCCACTGATGGAGTACGAGGAGCCGGCCGAGTCGCTGGTCACTGCCGACACTTGCGTGGCCGCCACGGACGTCGCTGCGGACAGACCACATGACCACACTACAGTTACCTTTTGGGGACATTTCTGTGGAAAACGATCGCATGTTGTTTCATGTGTTGTTATGGCAATTTATATCAAGCTCTAAGCTCTTTCCCTCAGAAAATAAAAATAATATTCCACATCAAAATACATTAGGCACAGCTGGTCAATACTAAGGCTCACATCACATATATATATAGATAGATAGATATTCCAATATATCTGGTCTCCATATTTGAGTTAGCATTCCAGAGTAAATGGGGACGCAATGAAGGAAAAAATATCCATAAATTCTTCAAAGACATTTTAATAATCCCAATGAATGCTGATATATGACTGAAGAGCTCCACGCTAAACGGACTGACAGGGTATTGCAGCAGCGATGAACTGCATCAGCTTTGGAGATTTGTAGAGGAGGGACACTGTAACAACACGGGGTTGGTGCCACAGCTTATTTATGGCTCACATATAATAACGGGGGGCGGCACGGTGGTGTGGTGGTTAGCACTGTCGCCTCACAGCAAGAAGGTCCTGGGTTCAATTCCGCCCAGTGGCCTTTCTGTGTGGAGTCTGCATGTTCTCCCCGTGTCTGCGTGGGTTCTCTCCGGGTTCTCCGGCTTCCTCCCACAGTCCAAAGACATGCTCTGGGGATCAGGTTAATTGGGGACTTTAAATTGCCCGTAGTTGTGTGAATGTGAGAGTGAATGGTTGTGTGTCTCTGTGTTGCCCTGCGATTGGCTGGCGACCAATCCAGGGTGTACCCTGTCTATCGCCCGAAGTTGGCTGGGATGGACTCCAGCCCCCCCGCGACCCTGTGTGCAGGATAAGCGGTTTGACAATGGATGGATGGATGGATGGATATAATAACGGTCACTGTCAGCCCAACAGCACTACGCTACTCTTCATATGTGCTGTTGCTACGAGGCTCTGAAGCATGTACCATTCTACTGTCACAGGCCGCGACCCCGTTCATAAAGACACTTTGACGGACACAAAATAGCTGTGTGATGTCCAATATTTCTCTCCCCAAACTCCACAAAGATGCACTTCAATCCTCCAAAACCTTTACTGAGCCATACGGACCAAATGGGGGGGGCGAAAAAACAAAAGCCACAAAGGACAGGAGTCTCTGTTCTGCCTCTCGTTGTCTCTCCCTCTAATCTTTTCCCTGGGGGAGACAAGTTCCTCGCCGGGCGACAAAGCGACATACTTTTCACCGCTTCATTGACACACACACACACACACACACACACGCACGCACACATTCTGAGGAGTGACACAAACCAGAACATAGTCACTCATTTCCTCGATCTCTTATCTGCGCCCCTGTAAGCGGACATGGGGTTGAGTGACAGTATGGTGTCCCAGGAGGGGGACAGAAAGGTGTGCAGACAGACATCTTAATCCTCTCTCCCAGCAGACCCCCCCCCCTCCCTCCAAACACAGAAAGACACGAGCGAAAGGGGAATGCAGAAAAAAACCAAAGGATAAACCAGAGGATCACGGTCGTCCCCCCGTCACTCGCTCGCTAACGACAGGCCGACGATAATGAATGCATATCCCTCCTTTTCCCGTCACTTGATTTAGCACTTCAATTATCTGATTCTCCTTTCTCTTTCTTTTCACTGTTTCTTTTTTATCAGACGTAACGCTTTTATTCCGCAAATCCAAATGTTCAATTTTCCGCCTGGGAGTGGGACCCATTTATCTGTGTAATCTGTAAGCGTGCTCGCGTGTGTGTGTGTGTGTGTGTGCTAAATGTGTGAAAGGTAGGAGTCAGGGAGCAGTGTGTGTGAAATTAATTTAGATTAATAGACAAGCGATTATGAAGATATGAGCGACACCAAAACACAATCCACTGCGGGGCGAAGTCAGGGGGAAGGAGGGAGGGAAGGAAGGATTCTCGTATTTATCTGAACTCGGAGATATTCATCGAGAAAATGGAAATAACGTTTCTGTCACGGCTGTAAGCGATATAGTGCTTCAAGCTGTAACAGGGTTAGAAAGAAGTGAACAGTCAGACAATGGCCTGTCGAGCGGGAATATTCGTTTATACAATTTATGTGTTTTGTTGGCTTAAGTCCTCAAACGTTCTTGCAATCCACCTTGAACTGGCAAAATAAAACCAGGACAAAGAAACACAGCAAACGAACGACATTTCCGTTTGTGATCGTTTGGTTCTTGTGGAAAAAGGCAGAAAACAGGTGCATAAGGTTGGGGGTGGGGGGGGGTTGGCGGCCTGCGTTAAGGCCTCTGTCATTTGGCTTCATTGTGGGACGAGGCGGTCCTCAGCAGCTCCAAAGTCCCCTTTCCTTCCCTCCTCGTCTTGATTGAAACATTTGAGCAAAGACCTGCTTGGCCCGCGACGGTTCAGAAATACGCTTCGTGGGTTTCCGCACACTGCACCCGGGGCCCCTGAGAGATTCGCACCACGGCGGCTCCGCGGTCACAACGTGCGCCGGCGGTTGGAAGCGGCATTTCGTAGCGGCAGACCTACCTAAGTTGTGAGCCGACACCGAGCCGGTTTGGCCGGGCGGCTGCTGCACCTTTGTCCGAATGATCCTGCAGGAGGAGAGAGAGGAGATATTATAGTGTGCGTGTGTGTGTTGTGAGGATTCTGAGTGATACAGAGAACATGACCATCGTGGGAGCTAAACAGTGTGTGTGTGTGTGTGTGTGTGTGTGTGTGTGTGTGTGTGTGTGTGTGTGTCTGTGGAGTGGCTGAGACTGACGTGGCAGAGGGGCCTCACACTTCCTGCTTGGCTGCTCATGCAAGCCTTTTTCCTTCCTCGTTCCTCTCCATTCTTTTTCTTTTCCTCCCCCTCTTTTCCTCCCCTCTCATGTCCTCTCCTTCTTTTCTCCTTTCCTTGTGCGTGTCTCTCTGTCCGTCCCCTCGCACACCTTCCTTCCCCTTTGTTTGCCTCCTTTGCTCAATCCTTCCCTCTCTCCCCCCTCTCTCCCCCCCCCCTCTCTCTCTCTGCCTCGATGCTCAAGGGAAAGGCTTGTCATTGTACCATCGTGTTGAACCACTGAGCTGCAGCCACTTCATACATATGGAGACTGGGCCTCTTTGTCATTCTCCTTTCCCACACACACACACACACACATCGAACACAGCGTAATATACAGCTGCGTGCTCTACCTGCTCTCAGTACCTGTTGCCCCGAGTTGATACTTGGAGACAGCGTACCTGTTGATGGAGCTGACGCTGGGGACGCTGTCGTTGTCGCACACTCTCTCGGCCAGGAGGCGGTCCCGGATCTCCCAGGCAAACATGGTGGGGTTTTGGCGTTTGTAATCGGCGATCTTGTCGACCACTTTGGGAGTAGCAACCTTTGGTTTGGATCCCCCGATCACGCCGGGGCGGATGCTGCCCGTCTCGTAGTACCTGGGAAACGAGAGCGCAGAGAGAGGCCGGCGTTGGTCACAGAGGTTGTTCCCTTTACGGGGTAGAAGAATGTGTCATCTCAAAAGATCATCTTTAAACTGCTTTGTGTCCGTGATCACATGTTCACAGTCTTTAGCAAGAGTCCCTCAAACGGGGGCACTAAATCCGGCTCAAGTTTGGAACACTTTGTGTGGATTTGGACCTTGCCTTCTTATCTATTTGTTTTTGCTTTGGTATTCCTTGCAAAAGATGTTTTTAACCCTCAGAGTTTGAAAAGTAAACTTTCTCCTCATGTCTTTAATTACGTTGTTTTTATTCACTGCCTTTAAATATTGGTAACCTGACGGCCTGCATTGGAGCGGAGAGATTGGCTGTTGTTTGCGTTACCTGCCGCTTTACTGAGACCCACAGATTCAGAGAAAACAATTATTGCCTTGAGGTCAAAATGTTTACGTCGTGTTAGTAAAACTACACATCAGACAATTCCGCATGCGGCTTCTTCTAACAACCATCACAACCAACAGCTAGATCACCGTTAAACTAAGCGTGACGTCAATATTCAGGATGTCTGACTCGTGCTGCTGATTTTTCTTTGCCGCTTTCACATTGTGTCAGACGCACACACACACACACACACACAGATTCAGACGTTTCGTGTCCACCATGGCTATTTCATGAATGTATTTGCATGCAGAAGGGGCATGGGTGCAGGGGGGAGGTGGGGGTGAAGGGGGGGGACAGCAAATGTGCTGCAGAGCTTGGAGAGAAAAGGGGGATGCTGTGTGTGCATGCAAGCTGTCAGTCAGTCTTAAAGCTGCTCTCTCTCTGCAGCGCTGTAGGTAGAGTTCTCCTCCCTGAAGATGTGCGCTCCTGTAAACGGACGCTTCCCAGTCTCCTTGTGTGTGTTCCTGTGTGCGTTTTGCACACGTTGACTATTCAGGAGTTTAAACACAGCTAAAGGAAAAACAAGAAACCAAGAGAAGAAAAAAAATCTATTTCCAAATGGAAAACTATTTAAATTATTCACAGAGGAATCATCGGCGAATAAACGAGCGTGGTTATTGATATCCGCACAACTATGAGCTAACGCACACACACGCACACACACACACACACACACACACACACATGCACGTGCGCGAGCACACATAAGAAGCAGCAGAGTTGCTGTTTTTGTTCTGCCGGCACCAGAGACACAGAGAGGAGAGGATAAAACAACCCTCCCTCCCTCCCTCCTGCTATCCCTCTCTCCCCTCTCCCCCCTCACGGTAACGCTTCAGTGAGTTGAACGGCCAGGACAGGGGGAGCGAGAGAGAGAGGACAGAGAGAGAGAAAGGGAGAGAGAGAGAGAGAGGGGCAAGGGAGAACAATGAGCAACACATTTTTTTTCATATAGCTGAGGGTTCAATGTGGCTAATCCTTCGCCTCCGTCCCCTCAAATGGTCTCTCTGTCTCTCACCCGTTGCCCCCCCACCCTGCACTCTTCTTCTTCAACACGCCTTTCCCCTCTTTGATTGTGTTCTTGTCCTTTCTTTCTTTCTCCATCTCACTTCGTTTCCTTTTGGGGGGGGGGGGGGCTTCAAAATATGGTAACACTTTCATTTTGATGGTAATTCCCCAAAAAGTGATGAATCTTTTCCCTTTTGTCCGTCTTTCTTCTCTGGGGGACGGAACCAGCACGGATTTAGTCTCAAATTTTAGCTTTAAAAAGGGAGAGAGGGAGACAAAGGGGGTGTGAGGAGAGGCACAAAAATATTGCGAAGGGACGGGAGAGAAATACAGGACGCTGAGAAGAGACGAAGGGCAAAGGGTCGAAATAATGAAGAAGACGAGGAAGTGAGCAGACAGCAGGGAGACAGAAAGGAGTCAGTGTGACCTCAGATTGACACGTGCTCAACAGAGTACAACAACTACTACTACTACTACTACAACTACTACTGTAACAACTACTACTACTACTACTACAAGTACTACTGTAACAACTACTACTACAACAACTACTACTGTAACAACTACTACTACAACAACTACTACTACTACTACAAGTACTACTGTAACAACTACTACAACTACTACTACTACTACTACTACAACTACTACTGATAAAAACTACTACTACAACTACTACTGATAAAAACTACTACTACAACTACTGTAACAACAACAACTACTACTACTACTACTGTAACAACAACAACTACTACTACTACTATTACTGTGACAACAACTACTACTACAACTACTACTACTATAACAACTACTACTACTACTGTAACAACAACAACTACTACTACTACATGATCCGGATTTTAACTTGGAGCTGTCAAAGATTTACCACAAAAGCAGCCGTCAAACCAGGAACCTTTATACACCTCATCCACCTTTATATACCTCATCCACCTTTATACACCTCATCCACCTTTATTCACCTCAATCCACATTTATACACCTCATCCACCTTTATTCACCTCATCCACCTTTATACACCTCATACACCTTCATACACCTCATCCACCTTTATACACCTCATCCACCTTTATTCACCTCATCCACATTTATTCACCTCATCCACCTTTATACACCTCATCCACATTTATACACCTCATCCACCTTTATACACCTCATCCACATTTATACACCTCATCCACATTTATACACCTCATCCACCTTTATACACCTCATCCACCTTTATACACCTCATCCACATGTATACACCTCATCCACATGTATACACCTCATCCACATTTATTCACCTCATCCACATCTATACACCTCATCCACATCTATACACCTCATCCACATCTATACACCTCATCCCCATTCATACACCTCATCCACCTTTATACACCTCATCCACATCTATACACCTCATCCACATCTATACACCTCATCCACATCTATACACCTCATCCCCATTCATACACCTCATCCACCTTTATACACCTCATCCACATCTATACACCTCATCCACCTTTATAAACCTCATCCACATCTATACACCTCATCCACCTTTATAAACCTCATCCACATCTATACACCTCATCCACCTTTATACACCTCATCCACATCTATACACCTCATCCACATCTATACACCTCATCCACCTTTATACACCTCATCCACATTTATACACCTCATCCACATTTATACACCTCATACAACTTTATACACCTCATCCACCTTTATACACCTCATCCACATTTATACACCTCATCCACATCTATACACCTCATCCACATTTATACACCTCATCCACATTTATACACCTCATCCACCTTTATACACCTCATCCACCTTTATACACCTCATCCACATCTATACACCTCATCCACATGTATTCACCTCATCCACCTTTATACACCTCATCCACATCTATACACCTCATCCATATTTATACACATCATCCACATCTATACACCTCATCCACATTTATACACCTCATCCACATGTATACAACTCATCCGCATCTATACACCTCATCCACATTTATACACCTCATCCACATTTATACACCTCACCCACCTTTATACACCTCATCCACATCTATACACCTCATCCACCTTTATACACCTCATCCACATCTATACACCTCATCCACATTTATACACCTCATCCACATTTATACACCTCATCCACATGTATACACCTCATCCACATCTATACACCTCATCCACATCTATACACCTCATCCACCTTTATACACCTCATCCACATCTATACACCTCATCCACATCTATACACCTCATCCACATATATACACCTCATCCACATTTATACACCTCATCCACATCTATACACCTCATCCACATTTATACACCTCATCCACCTTTATACACCTCATCCACATTTATACACCTCATACAACTTTATACACCTCATCCACCTTTATACACCTCATCCACATCTATACACCTCATACAACTTTATAGACTCATCCACATCTATACACCTCATCCACATTTATACACCTCATCCACATCTATACACCTCATCCACATTTATACACCTCATCCACATTTATACACCTCATCCACATCTATACACCTCATCCACATCTATACACCTCATCCACATTTATACACCTCATCCACCTTTATACACCTCATCCACCTTTATACACCTCATCCACATCTATACACCTCATCCACCTTTATACACCTCATCCACATCTATACACCTCATCCACATCTATACACCTCATCCACATCCATACACCTCATCCACCTTCATACACCTCATCCACCTTTATACACCTCATCCGCATCTATACACCTCATCCACATTTATACACCTCATTCACCTTTATACACCTCATCCAACTTTATACACCTCATCCACATCTATACACCTCATCCAACTTTATATATCTCATCCACCTTTATACACATCATCCACCTTTATACCCCCATCCACATTATAAACACCATCCACCTTTATACCCCCATCCACATTATAAACACCATCCACCTTTATACATCTCATCCACCTTTATACATCCCATCCACCTTTATGCACCTCATCCACCTTTGTACATCCCATCCACCTTTATGCACCTCATCCACCTTTGTACATCTCATCCACATTTATCCACCTCATCCACTTTTTATACACCTCATCCGCACCTACACAGCTCAGCCCTCTTCATCCACCTCCTCCACCTTTAGGCACCGCCATCCCTTGAATACAGCTCAGCCCTGTTCATACACCTCAGGTACGTTCATATCCCTCAGCCGCGTTTACCTGCCCCAGTATCTTGCTGACACACCCGTGGCTGACTCGCAGCTGGCGGGAGATGTCGCAGGGCCGGACCCCTTGGTGGGCGAGTTCCACTATTCGCTGCCGCACCACGTCTGGTAGCGGCCGGCCGTTTACAAACACGCCTCCAAGCTGGTTCACCCCGCCGTGTCCTGGAGAGAGAAGAGATCAGAGGAAGACACGTCAATACAAGGTGATAGGTGGACGAATGCTTTCTTATGAATTTAATTAGGTTACAGGCAGTAAAATGAAGATTAAGTTATTCAAAGTGACCAAAAGAAGGTGTGAACAAGTGTGACCTCACCTCACAGACAAAATCTGTGAATTTCATCAATTTACTGCATCATTCAGTCAGAGGCCTCGTCTTTTCCCTCATTACAATATTTTTGGGAAATGACGCAACAGACAATTTTCCAAGCTCTGGCTTATCAGACATGGTCATCTCAATTCTTCTGATCCGTCAAATCTTCTGTTAGATGAATAAAACCACAAAAGGCCACACTAGGCAGTTAAGACCACTAATGAGTGATGTTGACATAAACATCCCTCCCAGTGCTGCACAGTCTGAATAATAGCCTCCACAATCGTTTTCGCTCGCTTAGTCTTATTTTGGCCATGGAGGTGCTTTCTGTCTGTGTTCGTTTTGTGATAATTCTTTGTGTTTGGTTGAGAAAATATGAATAGCTAGAGAAACACTGCTACCGTTGAGATTTCCCGGTCACGGATTAACTTGCTCAGCATCACAGCACCGATTAAAACTGCTCCAAAGTGCAAACATGCAAAGTTGAGCTAAGATCTTCAGTAAATGAAGGGATTCGATTTTCACTTTAGGATAACAAAGAATAGAATTCTGTTCATGGGATTGTTATAAACTGTTTTAATACTCTGCTCTTCTGCTATTGGGAGTCAGATATAGGACATATGTTGCCACCTGCTAGTTCAATTGAAAACCATCTGTTTTATGTTGACAGATGTAAAGTAGCAAAAGGAAAAAACTTATAGTGAGCAATACGGCCCAGATATGCCATCACTACATGGGTAATTTCATATCTCAATGACAATGTCACCCTATGTTGTGTTTTCTGGTAATTCCATAAATAAAGTACCGTGTGTTTTCTCAGTGATTGAGAACTTTAGTGCAATAGAACAAAGGTCAAATTACAAAAAGGTCCCAATGTGACTGATGATGCAAAGATGCTCAGTCTACCGTCACGGAACACAAAGAGTATTGGCATTTTTACTTAGGACGTACAAAATTGGTTTATTTTATTTGTTGCAAATCATCCAATTAATTGTTGAGCACCAGACCTGGAGCCTGTCCCAGCATGCACCTGAGGAGGGGCAGAGTCAGCAGTCAGTAGATGAAAGACTATATATATATGTAGTGGGATCCTTACAGTCTATCGTCCGGTCCCCAATCGTGTGTTTTACTGTACATTAATGTAACTAACCAAAGGCAGAGTGTAAATAAACCAGATTTTCTGCCGCATAATCCACTGGCTTTTGTATTACCATAGTGATTGCGTCTTTAGGGGAAAGACACACAGACATGCACACGTACACACACACACACACACACAAGCTAATCCTAGCTGTGGGGGTAATAGATTTTAAACACATTACCCCAGCAGGGATACCCCTTTAAACACAAAGCTGTCCCCTGAACCTATCCCCCTGTCCTGTCCTCCCCTCCATCAGCATAAAATAAATAAACACACACACAGGCTCCTCCAGCTCAAATAGAAACACATCCACACATGAAGTGTGAAGTCAACGGTCTCGCTCTGTGAAATCAAACTGAGCTGCTTCCAAGCGGCGGGACGCAGCCGGTCACTCCCTCCCGCTCGCACTTCTTTATTTTCTGGAGACAGAAGAGGCCTCATTATGCAGATGGCAGCCGTGGCCAGCGTGATTTCAAAAAGCAATCGTTCTTCACAAAAGACACCGATGTGTAGACGCGGCCGTGGGATCGCGCAGGCTCCGGGCTCAGGGTCTACACGGACAGAAATTGGACGTACTGAACGTCCGGTCCGCTGTGGGTTTGATGTCGAGACTTTGATGCTCTTTAGCTTTCTATCTAGCAATCCATCTCTCACGCGTTATGCAAAACTAAACACCAAACATTCCGCACACAACATACAAATCAACCAACAAGTCGACCTTTCTCATGTTTGGTTGAGTGATTTTTGGTGTGTGGACATTTCTGGGAAGATGCTCCTCTTCATATGGAACTGACGTCCACTGGATGTGGAGCATCCTTCCAGGAACATGTCTCAGACTACATCTGCTGTTTGAAGAGGGATCTGTGAGACGATGTAATGCCGTTGTCTTGCCTTTGTAACCTAAGCAGTTCCTGGGCAAATCACAGTTACCAAAGAGCCTTGATGGGTTTTACAACCTGAACTGACTACTTGTTTTTGTTTGATATTGTGGGATATTTTATCCCTCTGCGATAGTAGAGAGACGACTGGAAGGTTGTCGAACGTTGTCATTGTCACTTCTTGCAGTTCAGCTGATTCCCACTGTTCTTGTCATTTTGTGTCCTTCTGTGATGTTACTGGAAGTCCTATAACTGTAACGTCCCACTTGGATCCCAAATCACTCTCTCACACACACACACACACACACACATACTGATTGACGTTCCTCAAAGCAAGAACGAGCCCACTGACCTACATGGCCATCCTTGGACAAACACACGCGCGCTCTCTGTGAATGTTTTGTACAAGTGTGAAGGCATTATTCACCTCCTCCTCGGCTTATTATCACGTCCCGGAACCTTTCCATGAATAAAAGCACCGGGTTTTTCTTCCTTCTTTGCGGGGTCGTTTATGGAAGTCGCCTCCTCGCCAAAGGTACCTTCCAAAGAAGACTCCTCCCCCCCCCCTCTCTTTCTCTAAGATAAGAGTAAATGAAATGGTCCCTTTCACTCGTCCTATCTGGGCCTGGCATGAAATACGCCTTGCTTTGTAAAGAGATGGAGAGGAATGACTTGTGACCCACAAAAAGCGCCCCGATAACTATTTATTCACTTATCGGTGTATTTACTGTTGGCATTAGGCGTTCAGACTCTCACCATCCTCGGGGTGGGTGATGGGGATTATGTGTTTTAAAATGTATTTTTTTCCCCCGAGCCCATAAATATACTGAGAGGGGGAAAACGCAGTATCTTAACCCTTCTATAAGGCATTTGTTTATCGGCCACTGAGGCTATAGCTCCGTAAATAAGCAGCATTACAGACAACGTGCCGTGCTTCCACACCTGAATGCTGGCCTGGACCCAATTTCATCTGGAATTGTTCAATCATTATTAAAATGGAAATGCACCAGAATTGGTTAGCATTTTTTGGGCGGTCCATTCTCCATGTCTAGATTTTTGTTCATATTTTCTGAGCATGTCATATCAGAGAAGCAGTCAGCGCTGATGTTCCCTCACAGCTGTGGGAGTTAATGACAGAGGACCAGCAAATCCTCACCAAACAAATCAAACCACTCGCTCCTGGAAATTCAATCAAGGTTGGCCAGCTCCTGGTTTTTGTTGCAAATTATACAAAGATTCTCCCAAATGAGGATGGGGAGGGAGGGGAGGGAGGGGAGGGGGGTGTAGGTGATTCTGAAGCTGACTCTCCAGAGGCTTCATCTTCATCTCGGATTTAGAAAAAAACAGGGAGGGACAGAGACAGGGCTCATTATGCAGTCCCCGTGTTGCATTTCACTTATTTACCCTTCATAGGAGCCAACTAAAAAGCCCAGCACCTCCTTAAAGGTTTGATTGATTCACTGTTTCCGCGAGGAAAATAAAAAACAACAGAGATAAAGCAGTATATATTCGAGCTTCCCCATCCAGAAAATAAAGTCTATTAGTCTCTCTCTCTCTCATCTCTCATCTGCCTCGTCACGGGCTGACGACTCAAAAATAAAGCAAAGGAGAAGAAATCACCACAAAAAGCCACCAGTCTTCTCTCCGTGTCTGTTGAAAGAAGGAAAAAAGGAGGAAACCAGAAATGACTTTTGCCTGAGAACCTGTTTGGGAAGTTGCCCCGCGAGAATACTGATGAAGCACATTTCCTCGAGCAAACGGTCAAATAGATGCGCGAGGTGGCCCAGCCATCCGTTCAGGACGGGTTGTCTTATTTATTTATTTATTTCTGAAAGGTGGAATAATTCATATTCTATCTGCGGAGAGTGAGTCTTGTGTTAATGAACGGTTGGGCTTATAAAACGGTTTGTAATGAACCGTTTTACAGAGATTCCCGTGGGGAAGAGATAAAAACGCGTTGATTAAAACGAATAAGACTTATTTGCGGTTTATTTCAAAACCAAACTGAATTCGTTGTATTTCGTATCCATGTGTGTGTGTGTTTTGATGTAGAAAATGGTTGTAGAAAAGGTAGGCCACAGCCTGCTCAGTATTCAGCATGCCGCCATTACCATCACAATACGTGATTATGAAATTCACTTCATTATCATCACAATTACCTGCTATGGATTTCTTTTTTTTTAAACATGACTGCTATGAGTTGTTTCTTATGGTTCAAAACACGCTCTAAACTTATGACCAAGTAAACAGCGAACGATGCGAACCAGATAATATCTGAAATATGAACTTTTTTATTGCCAACATAGAGGACGGCTACAACCCCAAATAAAGCAACTTTGTAGGTCTAAATTTAAAAGACAAATCGAAAGAATTATATGTAAATAACTGCCCGCTCTTAGGGGCCGGCGTGCGCAAACGCACGCATTTGATGCAATAGGAAAAGAAGGACAACAAATCACCTAAATTAATGCTTAACTCTACGCACACACACACAACCCTGGAGACCCACGTGTTCGCGCAGCAACACTTCCAGGAGTCACAGCGGATTCATTCCAACCCCCCATCTCTCTAGCGTTGACATTTCTTAGGGTGTAATCGTGTCAAAGCGTCTCCGGGCTTTGACATATAACTTTAGCTCCGCTCCACCGTCGGCAGCGCGACGGCAACGAAGAGGAAACGTCATCCGTTCTAGTTGCTTTTCTCTTTTTTATGACGTGCGTGCGTGTGTCCGTGTGTGTGCGTGTGCGTGTGTGTGTGTATTAAAACTTGGCCATATATATATAAATATATATATATATATTATTTTTGTATACATATATATTTTTTTATTTATTTATATATCTTTTACATATTATAAAAATATTATTTTATAACAGTGACATTGAAAAAATGCAACCAATGGATGTTGAAGGTTGAGACCTCTTGATTAAATTATTTCCTATTACCTGGGCCTCTGTGACAGACAATCATTACTTTTAATTTCAGATTTGAAATATGTGTCTGCATTTAGCTGCGCTGGGAAAATGACATAGTTTGAAGAAGTATGTAAATTAACGCTTGTTCAGGGTTAAATTAAGGAAGTATAGGTGTTTTGTGGCATTAAAAAAACAAAGCAGCCCCCCCCCCGCCCCCATCTTGCTCACATCCCCTCCATCTCCCCCGAGCACTTGCTCTGCTGCTGAAGTGTCTTTGAGCAAGAACGGCGCCGCTGCACGCTGCGAGTGCGAGGCGGTGCGCGCTCCGACCCGCTGGGCCGTGAGAGCAGCATCTCCCCGCGGGGATCAGCGCGGGCCCACCTGGTTACGGGCGCGTGAGACCCGCACAGCTCCGATCACCTGTGCGCGCCTGTCTAACCTGGTTACGATCCAGAAAACCCCGCTGCTGTTTGTGGATCGAGTTCAGCTTTTAGTCATGCTTTGTTACCCCCCCCCCCCCCCCCACCCTAAACCCCTCCCCACACCATCTCTCTACCTCTCTCTCTGACCCCTGCCCCTCCCCTCCACGTCCCCTTTAAAACGCAGCGAACAGCCCCACACACAACACACCGACACAATTTAACAAAATACAGGTCTGTATGGACAACATTTAAAACTTTACTATTCAAAATAAACCGCTCCGACTCCACGAGCCCAAATTATAGTCAAAATACACATGTTGCTGAAAAACCTGCAGAATTGAAGCGAAGATAAATGATCAAAATAAATACAATAAATGGGCCCAACACCACATGTCATTCACTGCCAAGGAATAGCCATACCGTTAATGCATTAGAAAGAATAGGAAATAATTAATTTGCCCAACAAATATTTCCAACCAAAGCTGTATTATATATATATTTTAACCACACATCTATAAATAGATAGATATATATGTCCTAAATACATAAATACAACATTAGTAATATATCAAAACGCAATTTGCAAAATGCCAATGCTTGTATTATTTCAGCATTGCTGTTGACACTTTTTGTGCCGGTATAGATTATTTCGGACACCAAGCAAAGCTAGTTATATATTTTTCTTTTTTTACAGTTTATCGTGCAGCTGAAATCTATTGATGTTTGCGTGTGAGTGTGTGTGTGGGGGGGGTGTGGGGGGTATGGGGGGGTCGCAGCACAGGGCAGATGGGATCATGCAGATGGGGAGGAATATAAAAGTGTAAACTTACTGTGCATTGCAGCAAACGGGTCGTGCTTACAGTGAATCTCCATCGTTACGGTGGCGCGCTGCCGAGGCCCCCGATACCGACGATGCCCCCCGGACGCCCCGCTTCAGACGGCCACTTCACTGACGCAGCGTGACCTCCAGTGAAGGGAAAGGGGCTTCCAGTTCCCTCTACAACGCGGATTTTTTTTTTAATTAACAAACAAAAAATGTTTGTAAAGTAATCGGTTGTCAACGTGTCACTGGTTTTACTTTGACTTGCACTAATACAAAATTATATTTAAAAATAAGATTTATAGAAAATAAGAGGGGGTTTTTTTTCAGGTTGAGGGGAGAGAAGTAATAGCGTCAAAAATGGGAATCGGAGACGGGCTCCCTCCCCACGGGGACGGGACACCGCGACGGGGCTCCAGGAACCCGAGGAGGGAAGCGACGGCGATGGGGCTCATTCCCTCGGCTGCTCGTCCGCACAAAGTCTCCTCAGCCAGAAGAAGGAACACATTCAAACAAAAACGAAAACAAAAAAAAATATATGGAGGGCAAACTCCCTCCCTTTGGTCTTCTTCTCGCTCCGCTGGCCGTGACCCCTGAACTGCGACTTAGCCGATGAAGAGGATACGGTGGGTGGGAGGGGGTCGTGAACTTTCTCCTTTGAGTCTATTGCAATATTTACGAGAAATAAAAAATATGAAGTTTACAAATCCAGTGTTATTTTTCCTCTTTTCTATTCTTCTTGTCAGAAATGGTCCTCGGCAGGTCGCCTTCACGTCAACACTTGGTATTCTCCATCAATAGCGCGCGAGAGCGGGTGACTGCTCACATCGTGGAGTCTCGTATCCACCAGCGGCCGAAGAAGAAGAAGAAGAAAAGAACAGCGGGGAAAATACAAAATAAAAAGTTGTTATCCCGGGAGAGAGGTGAAGGACGGCTCTTGCTCACTCTGTTATCTCTCCCCCTTCTCCCCCCTTCTCTCTCTGTCTCGCTGCGTGTTGGTGGCACTCGCGGCACAAACGTCTTCGGCTCCGGCTTTCTGCGTGAGTTTCTTGTTTTTACGCGTTGGTGTAAAAAACAGAAAAATCCCAGTTTCCCTAAAATTCAAACGCGTTTCTCCGCGCTCGCGCTTGAATCCCCGACAAATAAACGTCCAAAACGTTTGGTGTGTAAATATGTACATAAACAGGTTTTCCCTCGAACCGCGAGGAAAAAGAGAACTGCCGGCGCTGCGGGGGTCCGACGGGTGGGCAGCACGCCGCGTTTCAGGACCTGCTCTCGTGCGGACAGCGCCCGCGCTCCCAAACCCCTGGAAGCCTAACCCGCGCGCGCCGGCCCAGCTGCCCGTCACTCACAGCGGCGCCAGCCAATCGCTGCGCGAGCGCCGCCCCCCTCCGCCACCCGCGTCACCGCCTCTGACGGGTCGGAGGGGGCGCGGCGGAGCGCGCCTATTGGCTGCTGCGAATCCCGTCGGCCAATGACAGCGCCCCGCGGGCACTGGCCGTCCACCAATGGGGAGGCTTTGCTGAAGCAACGCAAGAGGCTGGAGGAGTAAATGATCATGTGTTTAATTTCAATTAGCAAAGTGAAGAAAGAAAAACTAAACGCCTTTGAACCCATTTGCACCCAATTTATTCATGTCAATATTAAACGGCTAATTAATTGAGTATTACTAAAAAAACGAGGCTTAGTTGCAGCACGGCTTTATAAAAGAGGGGAACTTAAACAGGTATTGCCCCTCTTTCTATCACATGAGAACAGTAGGAAGGAGTACAGGGAGGCAGCTCTTAAAGGGACACCCCATTTTGAGCATCCGGTTCTTTTTTGCAGTTTTCAGTGAAGTCCCCCCCCCCCCCCTCCTTCCTTCAACACAATGCTAGAAATATTTAACTTCGGGAGAATTGACGGACAAACATATGAAACATGAATTCACTACTTAATTGATTCAGGATCGCAGACGGAGGTTCTAATGAAATGCAATTTGCGAGCTCCCAATCTCAAAACTGAGAGAGAGAGAGAGAGATTCATTACGTGTTCGTCCCCCCTGACTTGAGAGGGCATATCTCAGCCTCGCCCCTGTAATATTAAACACACAAATAGCCTAAAGCATGAGGCAAATTAAAAAGAAAAGGTATCATTTCCCCTTCTTTCCTGTGTCTCGACATTTCATTTCAGGTCCTCGCAAGAACCTGGATGAGACACATTCGAGATATACAGCAGATGTATAATCACGCATATGCAACAATTATATCATTGAAGACACATCATGTCTTCTGGAAAGCTCCGACAATAGCGCCTCACTAGTCTGCAGGTTCCTCCTCAGAGGAACGTACATGTTTGATGTACCTCAAGGCAACGTTGCTGAAAAGGTCAATGTGTGATTTTATTGAGTCTATTTCATTTATGATTTTGTGTTTGTAGATTTCTTGATTATTATTGTTTTTCTATCCATAACATGCAACTTCAACTCCGGAACTGGACAATTATTTATGTCATTATACAACAAATAATTCTTCTTCTTCTTTAGTGTTTTTTTCTCTTTTTTTAACCATCCAGCCAGAGACTGAGAGGCTTTATTTGGGCTTTAGTTCTCTTTCTCTTCACTGAGGAAACCAGACCACAAGGGGGCGTTCAACCGTGCGTGTGTCGTGTCCGAGCGCGTGCACGCGCCTACACACTCACGCAAATCAACAAAAAACGGTTAAAAAAGACCGGCGGGAACTTGGACTTACTCAAAGAGTTAAACGAGTCTCAAAAGCGGTCTGAGTTGGCGTCTAAACGTGAAGCCAAATGGCAGCAGCGCGTAAAGCACCGCGGGCCCGCGCGGGATCACAGATTCACTCCTGAGATTGTGATCTGTGAAATAAACTACTGCACGAAGCTCATGTATGGCTTCATAAAAAAGAACGTCGTTCCTCACAATCCCGCTGATGTTAACGTTCTATCCCTCATTCATATTTCCCACATCTGTACTGTAGATTCCGGATTTAAGGCCTCAAAGCCGACTGACAGCACGGTCATGCTTTGCTTTTTAATGCTAAAAAGACTGAACTGAACGCAAATAAAACAGTATGAATTGACGAAATTGAAATATGTATAGATATAGATATAGATATTCGGACTTGGATCATGCACCAACCGCCACATCAATATTTAGGCCCTAAATCCAGAAAAGGAGAAAAAACATCTTGTAAGAAACAACTATTTTCTTCTATATTATATTATCTAAATGTTCTGCACATTATGAAATACGTCTCCCTATGATACGTTAACAGTTTGATTATTTTATGTTTGTATTCTTTTCTTTTCCATTTCGCATTGACAGAGTATTTTTGATCCGGGTGTCTCAAAACAGGCAAAAAGGACAATATATCAAATATTTCCTACTTCACCTGTTTCTCGTTCTGCTCCCTTTCTCTCACAGCCTGTTTTTTTGTATTTATTGAGAAAATACACGGGTGCTTTCCTCACCACACAAAAAGTAAACGGAGCCCTTGTCTCCACGATTTGCAAATTAAATACATAAGCAATTAAAATCCCCCCGAAAAAGAATCCAAACACAATCAATCATGTATACAAATTGTTGTCGCTTTAGGCTTTGAAATTTGGAGGAAACGAACTTCCATCAGGAAGACTTTAATCCGGGGTCCAAAACCATTACCATATTTCATTACCTCTCCAGTGTTAAAGAATGCGGGGGAGGGGATGGATGGGGGGGGGGGGGGCTGTTTGTGGGGGGGGGGGGGGGGGGGGGTGCGCGTACTTTTTTTGAACATTAGCGAGAATGCGGTTGAGTTGCGATGATCATTGGAGGTAAATTGCAGGCAGTGTTGCTGTTTAAATGCTGCCTCCCCCCCCTCATCCACCATGAAAGCCTCGGCTGTTTTGCTTTGCTTCTCTCTCCTTATTTTTTTTTTTTTTAGCACCTCAGCCTCGAAACGAAAAAAGCAATGAAAAATTAATAGCGCATGTTAACTCCACCAGCTCGTTTATTACACGCCGGCTGACTGTAAACAGAATGAGAAAGCTCCTCGTATCTCCTCTTAAGTTTGTATTCGCTTGTGAATTAGATACACCACCACGTATATATAATATATATGATTACACACACCCACCACACACCAACGGGCGCACTGGATGTGTTTGTCTCCATGCAAGAACAAGGCATAACATCACCTCGTCCTACACGGAGGGCACTTGAGGTCAAAGCGGAGCAGGCTGTATGCCAAGTGAGGTCATCTCTCTCTCTCGCTCTGCCTCCCCTCCCTCCCGTCCCTCCCCTCTAATCGCCCCTCTGTCTCCATATCTCTCTCTGTGTTCTGTCCTGTTTGGTCACGACTTGAATTAACTTTTGCAGGTAAAAACATTTTTTTTTAAATAAAAATAGATCAAAAAAAGGCCCGCCTCTCATTTTATCCTCTTTTGTAGAATAATAATTTGACTTCATCCACTGCCACTAGTCGTCAGATGGGACTGAAATGGCGGCCCCGGGGCCCTGTAGACGCGCACGGCCGACCTACAGGGCGGGATGAGAGGAAGGTCTCCTCAAAACCACCTCGCTCTCTCCTTTAAACCCCGAGCACGTCCCTTAAAGTGAGAGAGCCGCAGAGGCCCCGGGCCCCTAAACTCCACACGCCAACACGGAGGGCCCTCCCTTAAACTCCCCTCAGTGCTTAAAAGGTTATGATCCCAATGCTACAAACCCAGTTGCATTCACCGTGGAGCAGGAGCCACACTCCACACAAGACACTTCAACAGATGCATTATTTGTTTTATTCGATAAACCCGCATGAAGCCGGGCGGAAGCTCATTTAGTTCTAGTATATGACACTATTTATGCCGCTCCAATGTGAGAATGAACATCCCTCTGAGGCAGCATCGCGTTTCTTAATGACAAACGACGTTTTATCAATGCGGGCGCAGCGGGTAGCGATATGAAATGATGTGGTATCCATTGGGTGCCACAACGAGGTCGATGGTCGGATCCGCGGTTGTACCAGAGCCCCGCTGGTTTATGAATAGGCCTTTGCCAAATGAACCTGTTGGGTTGAGTAATGCAGGGACAGGACAACGCGGGAGTCATTCCAGACTCAGCGGCACAAACACGGACCAGTCCTCAGATGTCACAGCTCTCATGGCGCATATTGAATCGCATTTAGAAGACTGTCAAACCTCCCCGAAATATGAGACCAAACGTGCGCGGATACGCAATCGCTCGTCCCTGATTGGCGGTTCCAAAGAAGCGCGCACACTTCCCTGCTCTTTATTGTAAGAGCCGGTCAAGGTGCCAAGCAAAAGCTGAAAAGTTAAATCACACTTGTTGCTCACACCAGCGAACAGTGCCAAATAAAAGCAAATAGGAAATTATGAAACTCACATTTTAAACGAGAATGTCAATCTGAAACAGCTCCAAAGTTTCCACAATCGTTTCTCGCCAAACAGAACAAGTCGTAAAAAGTCAAAAAGAAGCCTTTCTCATTCTTTTGCCCGCCACAAATAACGTCCACAATTTCTATTAGAAAGTTTCGCATCAGCGAAAAAACACAAATAAATTCAACCAGCAACACGAAGGGTTTCACTTGTTCGGAAAAGTAGTTTGAGGTCTCCGTGAGAAAGTGAGCCGGTGCGACCCTACCTGCTCTCCCCAGCCGCAGCGCAGGACTCCCGGGGCCCTGCTCCATGTTGCCCGGTTAGACCGGGGGGAGGCGAGAGGAGGACAGAAAAAAAAAGGAAAAGAACAAAAACTTTTTTCCTAGTGTCTCCCTCTCTCCCCCCTCTCTCTTTCTGTCTCACCCCCCTCCCTCCACTCACACACCTCTCTTTCTCACTCCGTCACGGTTTTTTCTCTCACTCTTTTTTCTTCTTCTTTACACTACTTTTGGGGGCCAGTTGTAGGTTGAAATAATTCGACCCTATTGCACTGCTTGCAAGTGCTCAGTCAGCTGCAACTAAACGCTTTAGGTGGCAAAGGGGCTTGTGTGGGGGGGGGGGGCGTGAAATGAGCACGAGTAAAAGAGCCGCTCTCTCAATGTGCGCTCATGTCCTGTCTTCTTCCCCCCCCCCCGCACGAGGGTGTGCGCACACACACGCACACACACACGCACACAAATTGGGAGAAGACCCGGTCCCGTGTTGCCAAGTTCCACTTTACAAAAATTACGCCCGGGCTTTCTTCCCCCCCCCCCCCTCGGTTAGATTAATTTCCTCACTGAAGACTTTAATTCTTGTATTTATGTCCAGCGTCATTGCAACAGCGTCCCCGAAAGCGCGGTCACCAACTTCTCATCTGCTCCCCTGCGGGCATGTCACCTGTTA